TTCCAGACGGGAGCATGAGGGCTTCGTTTTCTGGCCTGTAGTTTTATTGCTGTCTGCTTTAAGGCAGATTTTTTTTTTTTGAGGGGAGGGAGGGATGGCAGGGGTTTAACTTTCTTTTTAAGGCTTGCTGGAGTCTGCATGCTGATGAGCTACCAATTTGCATTTTGTGGGCTCTGCAGCCCTCACCTGCCCACAGCACCACCATTACCCTACTTCTTGTGTCTCTGCTCTTCTATTTTCTACCTGCAGCCATTATTTTTCCTTTTCTTTTCTTTCCTTTTTTTTACCTGAGCCTGGGGAATTCTCTTGACTTTTTGCTTCATTCAGGCAACACACCATCCACGCCAGCTGTCTGTTTCAGTCAGGGAGGTTGGATGTCAAAGTCACGGGCATACCCTCGGTTTTGTGAGGAATAATCACTGGAGGGGTGGGCTGCACACTCAAAGGTGGACCCCAGAGCCCTCCTGACACCCCACCATCCAAACCACTGCTTACTGGGCAGTTCTTAAAGCCAGACCTCTGAGTATAGTGTGTGATAAAGGGAAAAAACACTGGGTTTGTTCCTAGCTCAAATGCTTCTAAGCTCTGTGATGTGGGGCAAACTGCTTAGCTGAGCTGCTGGGAAGATTAGGTACCAGGACATGTGTTAAGCGGTGTCTGGCACGTAGCTGCAGCAACTCTGGGGTTAGCCAATGCCCACGACTCACCTCTGCCACTTTATACGCTGGGCATGTCGCCAGCCTTGCTTGAACTTCGGATTTCTTCCAGGTGGATGGAGGAACAGTAGGACCTACCTTTGTCAGGCTGTGAGGACTAAATGAGATAATGATGATAATAATGGCAATAAATGCCATTTGCTGGTCAGCATCTAAGTGCTCTATAAGAATTAGCATAAATATTTATGGTGCAACAATGTATATATTGTAGTTATATTAGTGCACAAAAATAAAACATGATATATTATTTGGTAACCATGCATAGAAAGAGACTTAGATGTATGCAATTGGCTATAGCTCTTTATATAAATATAGCATGAAGTATATGTCATATAGATAAGGAATATATATATCATTTGATTTTTATGTATATTGTTTGAATCCATAAAATATATATGGCTATATTTATAATACACTATATAGATGGATATAGAAATGATTTATAATAGGAAAAAATGCAATACACGAGAGGCTAAGTGCTTTATGCTAGGCTAAGTGCTTTGCATGTGTTAATTAATGCATCTCATTATCATAAGAACCCTATGATTAGGTACTGCTATCATTCCCATTTTATAGATGAGGTAACTGACACACAGAGGTTAGGAGATGTTCTAAATGCCCCTTATATACAGATCAGACATTTATGTGCATGTAAATACACGTGTAGATTATGTGTGTTTTGCAGTGTGCCTGGCCCTGCATTTAAATGAAGTTAGCTGCTGCTATTGTCATTATTATTTGTTTTGTTCTCAATGCAAGCTACCATACTTGTTCCCTTTAGGAAATGACCCTGTTGGTTTTTAAAGAATCCTCAGTGTTTTCACCACAATACCACCTCGCTACCCAGAAAATATTTCCCTTTTGAGATAGTTGGCAAATTCCCTTCTCTGGGCAAGATTATCTGTGGTCAGATTAGCCTTTGCTGTCCAGGCCACAGAGGCACAGCTTTGCTGGCTCTTCAGTGATGAGCACACAGCACATGCGGGAGGGCTGGGCTCTCCCAGGTGATGTTTCAGAATGGCCAAGGGCCAACTGTCTCTACAACCCCGAATCTACCTCCCTACAATTGCAAATGGCCGTGATGGGAAGCCCTGATTTTACTCACGAGCTGAAGGACTCTCTTTGTGCTGTGAACTAAGCTGGTCCTTGGTCCAATATCAAGTATCAGGTGGGATCCTGACCAATTGCACAATGAGGACTTCAGAAAATTCTGCACCTTGTGAATATCTATGCAAATATCTCAGATATGTAAGATGTGTATGATCCAGTATGAATAAAAAAAAAAAAATAAGAACCCCCCCCTTCCCAAATTAGCTTTTTCAAGTTTTCCAACAAAAATAAGTGGTTTTTTTTCTCTTTTGAGAATATTATCCTCAGTCCTAGTTCTTAACTTTATTAGTGGAAACAATCATTACAGATTGTCAGGAGAAAGGTTGAGAATACACTTCAATGTATAGGTACATGCTTGTGCATATGTGCACACACAGCCCTCCCCCGCATGCATGCATGCAGACACACACTTGTCGGCTCCGTCAACATATGACAAGTGTCGGATCTGCAGGAAGAATGAAGCATTTGCATGATCACAAAGTTAACGAGAAGATGGTATCTCCCAGATAGATGATGGTGGGTCCTAACCTGGGGAATCTAGAAGCAGAGGGGCCCAGAAATCTTTCAGCAAGCTCACTAGGTTCTTAGAGCAGGTCTGTGGCGCATTTGCAGGGACTACGTCTCATCAGGGACACACGTGAGCACACGCATGGGGCGGGGGTGAGTACATGCATGAATGCTCTCTAGAACTACATCTGCTTCAAAAATGACTGCTCCCCAGGAAGTGGAAACAGCCTTCAGATGACATCGTAAATAACAAAGGCTGTCTGGGTGTTGAGTAGGGAATCGGGATTGAGATAGTGGTCCAAGCTTCTGAATTGTAAATCTGTAATGTTTTATGTTTTACATGGAAATGGTTTTTCTGTTTAATTAAAACATTTTAAGAACTGCATTATAGGTGAAATAAGGTCATGGCTACCTCTCGGGAATTGTCCACAGAAAAATAAATAACAGCCTCTATTTATGCACAAGCATATGCATCGCATATGGGCTTCCCGGGGGCTTATTTTCTCACCTCTGCCCACACTCCGGGTGGAGGACGGGAGTGGGATGACAAATATTTGCATCCACTGGTCGAGTCTTTGAAGAAACTGTTCACTTCTGCCATCATTTTAATTTTCTTTCCATCACATGAAATGTATATGCGTATCTCTATTTTAGATGGGTGTGCTGTTGGAGATTGTAATGTAAACTATTGTTTTTGTTATATGCAGTTATAGCCTCATATTTAGTGGGGAAGCAGTTAATTTATACACCAATATTTTAGGAAACTCCTCCTGGCTACCCGTGAGGATAAAGCTGGTACCTTTTGCTAGGAGAGTACTAGTAACCCAAGTTTAACATTACCACCACCACCACCATCATTAATAATGGAGCAGAATTTTTGGAAGCGGGCACAGACTTTAGGGTTAAGTCTTCCTGTGGCACTTGCTTTTTCTATACTTGTTGGACATGACTTTGGGCAAATCATATGACCTATTGGATCCCTGTTGTCTTCATGGATAAAATAAGGGTGATGCTATCTTTAAGCATCAGTTCACATAGGGCAGTAAAAGTTGATTTTTAACCTGCATATCTTGAGTCCTGTATATCTTGAGTTTTCAGAGAAGGGATGATTAAATATACTTAAGATGGTTTGATTTTCACTATTAAGACAACCTGCAGTGTGGAGAGGACTGGGAGACAGTGGCACTCAAAGTAAAACTACTCATGTGGAGAGTTCTCACTGGACAGGTGAGAACATGCTATTTTGGTTAAGGACGCACACCCTGGAATCCTAGCCTGGCACCTGCTTGCTGTGTGGCCTTAGATAAATGTTGGCATTGCTGTGGAGAGATAGGAACACTCTCACTGCTGGTGGGACTGCAAGCTAGCACAACCTCTGTGGAAAGTAGTGTGGAGACACCTCAAAGAGCTACAAGTAGAACTGCCATTGGATCCGGCAATCCCACTACTTACCCAAAGGAAAAAAAGACATTGTATGAAAAAGACACCTGCACTCGAATGTTTATGGCAGCACAATTCACAATTGCAAAGATGTGGAAACAATCCAAGTGCCCATCAATCCATGAGTGGGGTAACAAAATGTGGTATATTTATACTGTGGAGTTCTGTTCAGCCATTAAAAAAAAATGGTGAACTACCTCTTGTATTATCGTGGATGGAGGTGGAGCCCATTGTTCTAAGTGTGAAGTATCATGAGAATGGAAAAACACGCACCACGTGTACTCACCATTAAATTGGTACTAACTGATCAACACTTATGTGCACATAGGGAAGTAACATTTATACAGTGTCGGGCAGGGGGGAGGGAGGGGATGGGTAAACTCACACCTAATGGGTGCGGTGTGCTCTGTCTGGGGGATGGGTACGCTTGTAGCTCTGATTTGGACAGTGCAAAGGCAATATAAGTAACCTAAACATTTGTATCCTTGTAATATTATAAAATTTTTTAAAGAGAAATTCTCTGTACTGCCCTGGGTCACAGCCAGCAAGTGACTGAAAGCAGGGTGTGCACTCAAAATACCTGCTTCCAGACCCCACATTTTTTCAACCTCTATGTGTGCTACTAACTTGCTAGGAGTATTAAGTAAATGACATAGAATTAAGACATTCTTAAGTAACTAAATGGGGTAGATAGTTCAACCCTCATAAGGTTCTTAAGTAAATGAAAAAAGGAACAAGAGAACACAGTATTCTTTGTTCATAATAAGAACTCAATGCATGTGAACAGCTCTTCTAGCACTCAGTATTTTTTTTTTTTTAATCTTCCTCATCCAAGGTCTCTCAAAAAGTTGGGTTAGTGCCTTGGCCCTATATTCATTTGAAATGCACAATTTCTTGTTGCTTTGTTTTAAAGCAAAGGTTGACGTTTCCATGCTGGAGGATAGCTAAGCTCAGTTCATGGTTAGTTCTTAAACATTCATGGTTAGTTCCACTGACTTCCTCAGAAAGATGAGTGAGGAAGAGCAACCCTCTGAACCAGAAAACCCAGGCACCCCCAGGAGGCACCTGGTGTGCTGGCTGCCGGGGCAGTCTACTGCTCACGTGGGTAGTGCCCACCCCCGCCCCCTGGTGGGCAAAAAAAAAAATGCCATGACATGTGCGGATAACGGGATCCACCCACCCAAGAAACTCACAGAAGCACAAGAATTCAGAACACCAACTCACATATACCTTTTCAGACTAAGCTTTTATTTTTTTGATATTACAAACCAGTTTTCTTTATTCACAAACCACTGTAAGTGATATAAACACTAATTTCTAAAGACAGATATACACATTTTCTGGGTTTGCAGATTGCGTGATGTGTGTGTTTAAGAAGTCACTATATGCCACACATGATATTAATCTTTTTTTTTCCATAATTCATAATAGCAATAGTTATTTAGATAAATGAAAACATTCCAAATAATTACTGTTTAAAAAAAATCCAAAATGTCTGTTTACATTTCTGACATACATTTTTAGAATGACTGATTGGCATCTTGGAGGGGTGCCTAGACAAAAGACTGTGACGTCAGTTGGCACCCACTTGCTCTAAATGACTTTTATTAAAACTACATACAGTCATGGGGGAAAGTACAGCTCATTGATGAAAATCAAAACTGCAAATGGATTTTACTTTAACCAACACAGTAAGAAGTCTATGTTTGTGATTCCAAACACAATGTTAAATTCTGGATTTTGAAATCAGAGGCAATTGAGAGAAATCTATGTGTTCTCCCTCAGCCACCTGTTCCCACTCTCTCTCTCCCCTCCGGAGTGGGATGCCATAGCATCTTGATAATGTATTTCCTTTAAGAACATCAACCAGGTACCTGTTGTTGCCATAGCATCGTTTCCCAGGTGGGGGGGAATGAGAATGTCTTAGCAATGCCATAAACACCCCCTCTGCCCCTCCCCTCCCCCACCCACATAAGTTTGGTGAAAAGAGCATTTTATATGCTTCTGGCTTCTAAGCAGTTCCCCCCCACACACCCTTTTTGTTTTGTTTTTTTGCTTTTGTTTTTTTTTTTTCTCTTTTTAAGAGAACGATAATCTGTCTTAGATATCGAAGCTACAGAAACTTTGTTTTCAAATCTCGTGAAACTTTATTGATGGTTTTTAATATCCAACTGATCTTACGGCATGCACATAGGATGACAAGAGAGAAAGCTGGATCACAAACACTTTTTTTTTTGTTTTTTTCAGTTTTGTTTGGTTTTGTTTTTAAAGCAGAGTTGTTACAGCGGATTGGCAGGTTCACAGCGGTGAGTCGATAACTTACTAAAGTGCGGGCCGCAGGGCTGGCACTGCACACATGAGGATTTAACTATGGCAGCAAAACTACTCAGGGACAGCTTGCTGCTGCGTGTTTTATTTAAATACAAAAACAGGAAGACCCGTGACAGATACCCCAACTTAGGTTAACTTGTAAACAGGACAACGTGGAAAGAGTCCAAACAGAAGTAATACAGACAAACTGCAATTTTTCCGTTGTGTCACTCTGGCCCTGCATCCAGGAAAGGGCGGGGCAGGGTAGAGGGGGACTTTGGAGATGAAAAAGGTGGATCTAATTTTTTTTTTTTTTTTTTGCTTCCTTCTGACAAATGTCCTGGGCCTTGGAGAGAAAACTGTGGATAACTGGTTTGAGATGGGCCGGGAGGCGGAAGGGCAGGCTCTCACAGACTGAAAAATTGCAGATTGCTCACACAACGCAGTCGTGTTTGAAAAAGTACCAAGCTGATGAAAATACCATGATTATCTCTACTCAATGATTGCAATACTTGTAAAATGCTTCTATAAATCCGAATATGATTATCGTGTAATTCCATAAAAATTATACGTCTGTCTCTAACAGTTGTTCTACTTAGGCTAAAACTAAAGCTTCATAGACTGTTTCTAGAACTTAACAACTCCACTGCACAGATGTAAATTTTATACATTTTTTTTTCAACTGGTACAAAGAATTTAAGTTTTTATTACTTTCTTTTTTTGGAAAAAAAGAAAAAAATAGAAACAGTGCTTTTTATCACCTTTTTATTAATGTTATTTTTTTCCCTCCCATAATATAAAAGTCAGCAATGATATCAATAATTTATTATACTGGAAGAAATATAAAAAGAATGCTTGTTGATGGCCTAACTAGCAGGTTTTCTTTTTTTGCCTGAATAACTAGCGGCTGGTTAAGAAGCTGAATACTGCCGGGTGGAATGGTTTAAAGGGTGGGTTTGCACAGCTTCATTCGACTCAGTTGCACAAGTGCTACTAGAAGCCCTCCCTAAACAGCATAACCTTTGGCTTGAACTGGCAATGAGTAACTTAGAACCATTGATACATGATTGTTGGTGCAGTGGGTCGTTTAGATTCGTCAGTTACTACATTTTTTTTCTTTCAGCCAAACCCCAATTCCAATCCCCTAAGCCCCTCCCAACCTCCCCTTTTGCAAAATAAAATAATGCAGATGCAGGAAAAAAAAAATGACTACTATAGTCACTTACACTCTTCCCAAACAGCTGATACCCCCAGTAGCTTAATATTCAGCATATATAATTCATTTACATAATATAGCACTCTGGATATGGCCCTAAACCAGTTTTATTTTTTTTTTTTCATATCTAGCATCTCTCTAGATCAACCACAAAAACTCCTACAGCCAGCAACCAAACTATGGAACCTTCAGAAATTAAAGACCCACAATATTAAAATACACAGAACAAAATATCTGAGGTATAAGATAAAAAATGTAATTTTTTCCTCTTTTTATTTTTAATTTTTTTTTTTTAGAGTTGCTAAAATGATGCACTACTGCATGTATTGCAATACTCAGGCCTCGGAAAGCTTCCTTTCTCCCCACATTGGAAGGTTTTTATGGTTTTGTCATTTAGTATGGAGCAAAACGGTTGTATCCCCCTCGGTATATACTAGCCTGCAATGAAGAAAGAACGAGACCCACATCATCAGCATGGCTCCTAGTCTTGGCATCAGTCAAAGGTGCAAAAGCATTCTGAAACAAAGCAATTTGAGGGGTGTGTTTTTTACATTTTCCTTTTGCAACATGTGGATCATCAAAAAGACTAATGTGAAAAATAGACACTCAAAACCAACCGAAATGGAGGCACCCCTTACCCACCCCTGGTCATTCTTGGAGAACTAAAGATAGGGCCAGTCCTGACCTTCCCCAATAGCTCCTTAGAAAGCAACTCCCTGTCAAACCTGATTCTGCGAAGCCAGTCCTCTTAGCTAAAAGGACTCTCGACACAAACCGGACAATGGAAGGATTTGCACTGTGTCTCATTTTGTTTGCTTGTTTCTTGGATTCATTAATTAACCCCATGTTCCCTTGAGGAAAACTCAGTCTACACTCCAGGTTGCATTTCGAAGGTTTACTGACTAGTAATTCAACTCTCCTTTCCAACACTTTCCTCCAACGGACAAGGTGTTGAAGCAGAGTTGCCTACCGCAAAGTTGGGGTGAAAATTTCAATCTACGTCTTAGCTTGGCTGGGCCCAGCAGTCTGCACGGAATCTGATCGGAGGGGAGCTGTACAGAGGAGCTGTGCTCTATGTAATTAAGCTTGTGCAAAACAGGATGTTTCCAAATCGTCGTTGAATGTCTATGACCAGGCTCAGGGGAATTGTCTGGCCATGGCTTTAAATGGCTACAAGGTGGTGGCACTTTAACTATTTCCTCTTTCTAAAAGTACTGGCGATCCCAACGAATGCCTAGGGGGATTTATTTGTAGGATAAGGGCTGATATTCTTGATCCAAGCAGAAAACTGCATGCCAAAGCTTTGTAATGATTGCATATGCTTTTCACGTGATGGGCACGTCTTACTGTACTTAAGAGTTTTAGTGCATAGAAGTTTGAACAAATACAGGCAAATTCACCCCGCCCTTACCTCCCATGTTTTCCCTCCCCCCTCCCCAAACAAAAACCCAGACCGCCCCCCCAAAAAAAAGAAAAAACAAAAGACAACCCCCAAACCCAGCTGATTCCTTCTAATTTCTTATGTACTAGGTACACACACACAGTGTGCCCCTTTCTCTATTTTCTTTCCTGGGCGACTATGACTTTAAACATGAATTGTAATAGGGGAGGAGAGGCAGTCAGATTCTCAGCTGCCTGACAGCAGAGGCCTGGAAGTGTGCAGCTTAGCTCCTCTGAAGTCTGTGCTGGGGCTGGAACCTTGGGGCTATGTGAATGAGCAGCAAGGGAGGGAAAAAAAAAAGAAAAAAAAAAGTTCTGCATTGACACTGCATTCTGTTAGTGATGGATTTAATTATCAAAATGACTAATTATTCCATTAAGGTAAGTGCTCCGCTAGGTGAGACTTGCAAAATTAGAAATATAATAACTTACATGCACTACATTGCCAAGAAATTAAGACATTTATCAAGTTTACTGGGAGGATTAATGTGGCATTTTAGCTGCTGTTAGCACAAGAGACAAATTCAATTAAGGGAAAGTGAGAGGACATCAACCGTCAACCCATACTGAGGTCCCAGCTGGGGGAAGGGAAGGGGGAAGCAGAGGAAGAAGTGAGGACGAGGAGGAGCCAGTACTCACCATGGCACCAACGCCGTAGGTGGGGGCTGGAGCAAGTGCGTGGTGGTAGGGGTCGGCAGCATAAACTCGTCCGTAACTGAAAGGAGAACATAGGTGAAGACTGATCCATAACATGCAATGACAGAGCAATGATAATCATAAAATCCAAAATACCAAGACAGTGTGTGTATGTGTGTGTGTGGGCGGGGGGGGGGCGCCATTCATCTTGGAATAAGAAACGTGAGAGAATTCCGTCTGTGCACAACGCCTTTCTGTTTTGTGCATTTAACGTGGATGGCCGTATTGGTATCTTTAACATACAGACCCACACGCGCACACAACACGCATATATCTTCCCTCCGTCCCCTAGTGCTTTTCCTACGCCGCTCATGTGGCTACCTCAGAGACCGAGATAGGCAAGAAGAAACCACTTGAAAAAAGAGGACTTTTAGGAAGCTCTGCGAGGATGTGTTAATACTTAATGGAGACTGGCTTTTTCTCCTGATTCAGCTGTTACAATCGAGAGAGGATGGGTCCGAAAGGGTGAAGGGAACCTGTCTGTGCAGTCCATGTCCAACGTTTCTTCGAACATGATAGAGTAAGTGTATCTGAATGGAAACACCCTGGGAGGGAGGGGCTGTGGGACCCCCCCACCCCACTCAAGAGTTAGGGCCCGATTTCCTTTGGGGCCTCTTACCCCAGAACCTCCACCGCCTCCACCTGTGGCCAGGTTCTGGGAAGGGAGGCGTTGGAAGAAAATGTATCTCAGTGACATTTACCCATCTTGGAGTTTCTCTCTCTCTCTGCTACCCTCCTCCCTCCACTGCCAAGGCTACCTGCACAGGCTTTAGAATAAAAACGAAGCAGCGATGGAAACCAGATGCACTGGATGTCTGCAAATGAGCATCGCCACCAATCAGAAATTAGGGTTCAGAGGTTAAGTCGCTTCCTCCAGTTCACAGCTCTGGACAGAACCGAGCCTTGACTCCCTGGGAGCGGCTTGCACGTGTTCCTGTGCCGCTTTGGCCTGCCGGATATTTTCTTGGAGGTGGTTTGAACAGGGCTGGTTTGATGCGCATCAGAGCTGAGAGGCAATCTTAGGCTCGGTTCCCTGGAAGCTGAGCGGGAGGATGGAGTTTCCCGTGCAGGCGATTTATTGAAGAGGCGCGCTCAGGAGGAGAGAGGCGCGGGCGGGGTCAGGGCGAGGAAAAGAAAGGGTGAGGATGCGGTCTGAGCTGACGAACAGCTTCGACCTGATTCTGGGAGTTGCACACCAGGGTTGGTCCCGCCAGAGTCTGAAGCAAGGGGGTCGGCTCTTTGAAGCCATTGTAAGTTAAGCACGAGCTTTGAGCTTTCCTGGGGGCTGGGACACGCCACTGAGTGGAAGTGGCTGCCTTTGGCGGAGGGCCAACCCGCCCTGGTGGGCAAAAAAAAAATGCCATGAATGTGCGATAAACGGGATCACCACCAGAACTAAGAAGCACGAGATTCAGACCACTCACAATCCTTTTCAGCTAGCTTTTTTTTTTGATATAAACCTGTTTTTTTTCACAACCTGTAAGTATATAACCTATTTCTAAAGACAGATATCAATTTTGGGTTTGCAGATGCTGATGTGTTTTTAAGAGTCCTATAGCAAAATGATTTATCTTTTTTTCATAATTCTAGCACTTAGTTATTGTAAATGAAACTTCCAAATTTACTGTTTAAAAAATCCAAATGTCTGTTTCCATTTCTGATACATTTTTAGAATGAGCTGTTGGGCTCTTGGGGGTGCCTGACAGACTGTGACGTCGTTGGCCTTGCTTAATGACTTTTTTAAAACTACATACAGTATGGGGGCAAGTACAGCTCATTGATGAAAATCAAAACTGCAAATGGATTTTACTACCAACAGTAGAAGTCTGATGTTGTGATTCAAACACAATGTTGAATTCTGGTTTTGAGAATCAGAGGCAATTGGAGAAATCTATTTGTGTCTCTCAGCAACCTGTTCCCACTTCTCTTCTCGGAGTTGGATGCCATAATCTTGATAATGTATTCTTTATAGAACATCACCGGTTACCGTTGTGTTGCATATGCACTGTTTCCAGGTGGGGGGAATGAGAATGTCTTAGGCATGCCAAAAACACCCCCTTGCCCTCCCATCCCACCGATAAGTTTGGTTGAAACGCAGCATTTTATATGTGCTGGCTTTCTAAGCAGTTCCCCCCAAACCGTTTTGTTTGTTTTTTTGCTTTTTTTTTTTCTTTTTTAAGACGATAATCTTCTTAGTATCGAAGCTACGAAACTTTGGTTTTCAAATCTGTGAAATTTGTTGTGTTTTTAGATATCCATGTCTACGGCATGCACTAGGATGACAAGAGGAGTGGATCAACTTTTTTTTGTTTTTTTCAGTTTTGTTTGGTTTTGTTTAGCAGTTGTTACGCGGATTGGAGGTTACAGCGGTGAGTCTGATAATTTAAGTGCGGGCGCGGGCGGCGCTGGCACATGAGGATTTAACTATGGCGCAAATGTCGGGGGACGTTGTGTACTGGTGTTTTATTGTAAATAACAAAACAGGAAAGGACCCGTGAACAGTACCCACTTACGTTTAATTGTACAGGACAACGTGGAAAGAGTTTCCAACGAAAGTGATAGACAAATGCATTTTTCGTTGTGTACTTGGCCTGGCCAGGAAAGGCGGGGCAGGGGAGGGGGGATTTGGAGTGAAAAAAGGTGGATCTAATTTTGTTTTTTTTTTTTGCCTCTTTGAATGTGTTCTGGGCCTTGGAGAGAAACTGTGGATAACTGGTTTGGATGGCCGGGAGGCGGAAGGGCAGGCTACTTCACAGACTGAAATTGCGATTGCTCACACACGCAGTCGTGTTTGAAAAGTACCAAGCTGTGAAAATCCATGATTATCTCTTCACTGTTGCACATATTGTAATGTTCTATGATCGAATTGATTATCGTGTAATTCAGTAAATTATAGTCTGTCTCTAACAGTTGTTCTATTAGGCTAAACTAAAGCTTCATGGGACTGTTTTAGACTTACAACGTCCACGCCAAGATTAAATTTGTATATTTTTTTTTCTGGTCAAAGAATTTAGTTTTTATGCTTCTTTTTTGGAAAAAGAAACAAAGATAGAAACAGTGCTTTTTTACCTTTTTTATTAATGTTATTTTTTTCCCTCATAATATACAGTCGCATGTATATGAATTTATTAACTGGAAGAATATAAAACGACATGCTTGTTGTGGCTAATGCGGTTTTCTTTTTTGCTGACTACTAGGCTGGTTTAAGAAGGCTGAATACTGCCGGGGTTGGATGGTTTAAAGGGTGGGTTTGCACAGTTATTCGACTCAGTTGACAAGTGTCTAGAAGCCTCTAACAGCTACTTTGGTTGAATGGCAATGGTCACTATCGAACATTGACTTACTGATTGTTGGTGCAGTGGGTCGTTTGATTGCGTCAGTTATGAATTTTTTTATCTTTCAGCAAACCCCATTCTCCCTAGCCCCTCCCACCTCCTTTTGCACATCAAATATGCGGATGAGGGAAAAAAAATGACTACTGTATATGTACTTCACTGCTTCCAAAGCTGATACCACATAGTTATATTCAGAGATTATATTTCATTTACATATATAGCACTTGATATGGCCCTAAAACAGTTTTTTTTTATTATCTGCATCTCTCTAGATCGACCACAAAACTCTAAGCAGCAACAACTATCGGAACCTTCAGATTAAAAGAACAAAGTTGCAAAGATACAAGACAAATTCTGAAGGTAAGATAAAATGTATTTTTTCCTCTTTTTATTTTTAAATTTTTTTTTTTTTTGAGTTGTAAATGATGAACTATGCTGTTATTGCAATCTCAGGTGAAGCTTCCTTTCTCCGCATTGGAAGGTTTTTGATGGTTTTGTCATTTAGTATGGAGAAAACGTGTTGTTCCCTCGGTGTGATATCCTGCAATTGAAGGAAAGAACGGACCCAGCATCATCAGCATGGTCCTAGTCTTGGCTCAGTCAGTGACAGCATTCTGAAAAAAGCATTTGAGGGTGGTTTTTTACATTTTCCTTTGACATGGTGGATCATCAAAAGTAATTGAAGGCATAATCACAACACGAAATGGAGGACCCTTACACCCTGGGGGTTTCTTGGAGGATGGAAAGTAGGGCAGTCCTGCCTTTCCCCGTGCTCTAGAGACTCCTTGTCAAACTGATCTGCGAGCAGTCCTTTAGTAAAAGGACTCTCGAACAGACCGGAAGGGAAGGATTTGCACTGTGTATTTGTTTGTTGTTTTTGGATTCTTAATTACTGTTCCTTGGGGAACTCAATTACACTCGGTTGCTTTAGGGGTTTTTTGCTGATGTGAATTCACTCTCTGTCAATTTCTCCACGGGACAAGGTGTTGAGCAGAGTTGCTTACGCTAGGTTCTTAGAGCAGGTCTGTGGCGCATTTGCAGGGACTACGTCTCATCAGGGACACACGTGAGCACACGCATGGGGCGGGGGTGAGTACATGCATGAATGCTCTCTAGAACTACATCTGCTTCAAAAATGACTGCTCCCCAGGAAGTGGAAACAGCCTTCAGATGACATCGTAAATAACAAAGGCTGTCTGGGTGTTGAGTAGGGAATCGGGATTGAGATAGTGGTCCAAGCTTCTGAATTGTAAATCTGTAATGTTTTATGTTTTACATGGAAATGGTTTTTCTGTTTAATTAAAACATTTTAAGAAATGCATTATAGGTGAAATAAGGTCATGGCTACCTCTCGGGAATTGTCCACAGAAAAATAAATAACAGCCTCTATTTATGCACAAGCATATGCATCGCATATGGGCTTCCCGGGGGCTTATTTTCTCACCTCTGCCCACACTCCGGGTGGAGGACGGGAGTGGGATGACAAATATTTGCATCCACTGGTCGAGTCTTTGAAGAAACTGTTCACTTCTGCCATCATTTTAATTTTCTTTCCATCACATGAAATGTATATGCGTATCTCTATTTTAGATGGGTGTGCTGTTGGAGATTGTAATGTAAACTATTGTTTTTGTTATATGCAGTTATAGCCTCATATTTAGTGGGGAAGCAGTTAATTTATACACCAATATTTTAGGAAACTCCTCCTGGCTACCCGTGAGGATAAAGCTGGTACCTTTTGCTAGGAGAGTACTAGAAACCCAAGTTTAACATTACCACCACCACCACCATCATTAATAATGGAGCAGAATTTTTGGAAGCAGGCACAGACTTTAGGGTTAAGTCTTCCTGTGGCACTTGCTTTTTCTATACTTGTTGGACATGACTTTGGGCAAATCATATGACCTATTGGATCCCTGTTGTCTTCATGGATAAAATAAGGGTGATGCTATCTTTAAGCATCAGTTCACATAGGGCAGTAAAAGTTGATTTTTAACCTGCATATCTTGAGTCCTGTATATCTTGAGTTTTCAGAGAAGGGATGATTAAATATACTTAAGATGGTTTGATTTTCACTATTAAGACAACCTGCAGTGTGGAGAGGACTGGGAGACAGTGGCACTCAAAGTAAAACTACTCATGTGGAGAGTTCTCACTGGACAGGTGAGAACATGCTATTTTGGTTAAGGACGCACACCCTGGAATCCTAGCCTGGCACCTGCTTGCTGTGTGGCCTTAGATAAATGTTGGCATTGCTGTGGAGAGATAGGAACACTCTCACTGCTGGTGGGACTGCAAGCTAGCACAACCTCTGTGGAAAGTAGTGTGGAGACACCTCAAAGAGCTACAAGTAGAACTGCCATTGGATCCGGCAATCCCACTACTTACCCAAAGGAAAAAAAGACATTGTATGAAAAAGACACCTGCACTCGAATGTTTATGGCAGCACAATTCACAATTGCAAAGATGTGGAAACAATCCAAGTGCCCATCAATCCATGAGTGGGGTAACAAAATGTGGTATATTTATACTGTGGAGTTCTGTTCAGCCATTAAAAAAAAATGGTGAACTACCTCTTGTATTATCGTGGATGGAGGTGGAGCCCATTGTTCTAAGTGTGAAGTATCATGAGAATGGAAAAACACGCACCACATGTACTCACCATTAAATTGGTACTAACTGATCAACACTTATGTGCACATAGGGAAGTAACATTTATACAGTGTCGGGCAGGGGGGAGGGAGGGGATGGGTAAACTCACACCTAATGGGTGCGGTGTGCTCTGTCTGGGGGATGGGTACGCTTGTAGCTCTGATTTGGACAGTGCAAAGGCAATATAAGTAACCTAAACATTTGTATCCTTGTAATATTATAAAATTTTTTAAAGAGAAATTCTCTGTACTGCCCTGGGTCACAGCCAGCAAGTGACTGAAAGCAGGGTGTGCACTCAAAATACCTGCTTCCAGACCCCACATTTTTTCAACCTCTATGTGTGCTACTAACTTGCTAGGAGTATTAAGTAAATGACATAGAATTAAGACATTCTTAAGTAACTAAATGGGGTAGATAGTTCAACCCTCATAAGGTTCTTAAGTAAATGAAAAAAAGGAACAAGAGAACACAGTATTCTTTGTTCATAATAAGAACTCAATGCATGTGAACAGCTCTTCTAGCACTCAGTATTTTTTTTTTTTAATCTTCCTCATCCAAGGTCTCTCAAAAAGTTGGGTTAGTGCCTTGGCCCTATATTCATTTGAAATGCACAATTTCTTGTTGCTTTGTTTTAAAGCAAAGGTTGACGTTTCCATGCTGGAGGATAGCTAAGCTCAGTTCATGGTTAGTTCCACTGACTTCCTCAGAAAGATGAGTGAGGAAGAGCAACCCTCTGAACCAGAAAACCCAGGCACCCCCAGGAGGCACCTGGTGTGCTGGCTGCCGGGGCAGTCTACTGCTCACGTGGGTAGTGCCCACCCCCGCCCCCTGGTGGGCAAAAAAAAAAATGCCATGACATGTGCGGATAACGGGATCCACCCACCCAAGAAACTCACAGAAGCACAAGAATTCAGAACACCAACTCACATATACCTTTTCAGACTAAGCTTTTATTTTTTTGATATTACAAACCAGTTTTCTTTATTCACAAACCACTGTAAGTGATATAAACACTAATTTCTAAAGACAGATATACACATTTTCTGGGTTTGCAGATTGCGTGATGTGTGTGTTTAAGAAGTCACTATATGCCACACATGATATTAATCTTTTTTTTTCCATAATTCATAATAGCAATAGTTATTTAGATAAATGAAAACATTCCAAATAATTACTGTTTAAAAAAAATCCAAAATGTCTGTTTACATTTCTGACATACATTTTTAGAATGACTGATTGGCATCTTGGAGGGGTGCCTAGACAAAAGACTGTGACGTCAGTTGGCACCCACTTGCTCTAAATGACTTTTATTAAAACTACATACAGTCATGGGGGAAAGTACAGCTCATTGATGAAAATCAAAACTGCAAATGGATTTTACTTTAACCAACACAGTAAGAAGTCTATGTTTGTGATTCCAAACACAATGTTAAATTCTGGATTTTGAAATCAGAGGCAATTGAGAGAAATCTATGTGTTCTCCCTCAGCCACCTGTTCCCACTCTCTCTCTCCCCTCCGGAGTGGGATGCCATAGCATCTTGATAATGTATTTCCTTTAAGAACATCAACCAGGTACCCGTTGTTGCCATAGCATCGTTTCCCAGGTGGGGGGGAATGAGAATGTCTTAGCAATGCCATAAACACCCCCTCTGCCCCTCCCCTCCCCCACCCACATAAGTTTGGTGAAAAGAGCATTTTATATGCTTCTGGCTTCTAAGCAGTTCCCCCCCACACACCCTTTTTGTTTTGTTTTTTTGCTTTTGTTTTTTTTTTTTCTCTTTTTAAGAGAACGATAATCTGTCTTAGATATCGAAGCTACAGAAACTTTGTTTTCAAATCTCGTGAAACTTTATTGATGGTTTTTAATATCCAACTGATCTTACGGCATGCACATAGGATGACAAGAGAGAAAGCTGGATCACAAACACTTTTTTTTTTGTTTTTTTCAGTTTTGTTTGGTTTTGTTTTTAAAGCAGAGTTGTTACAGCGGATTGGCAGGTTCACAGCGGTGAGTCGATAACTTACTAAAGTGCGGGCCGCAGGGCCGGCACTGCACACATGAGGATTTAACTATGGCAGCAAAACTACTCAGGGACAGCTTGCTGCTGCGTGTTTTATTTAAATACAAAAACAGGAAGACCCGTGACAGATACCCCAACTTAGGTTAACTTGTAAACAGGACAACGTGGAAAGAGTCCAAACAGAAGTAATACAGACAAACTGCAATTTTTCCGTTGTGTCACTCTGGCCCTGCATCCAGGAAAGGGCGGGGCAGGGGAGAGGGGGACTTTGGAGATGAAAAAGGTGGATCTAATTTTTTTTTTTTTTTTTTGCTTCCTTCTGACAAATGTCCTGGGCCTTGGAGAGAAAACTGTGGATAACTGGTTTGAGATGGGCCGGGAGGCGGAAGGGCAGGCTCTCACAGACTGAAAAATTGCAGATTGCTCACACAACGCAGTCGTGTTTGAAAAAGTACCAAGCTGATGAAAATACCATGATTATCTCTACTCAATGATTGCAATACTTGTAAAATGCTTCTATAAATCCGAATATGATTATCGTGTAATTCCATAAAAATTATACGTCTGTCTCTAACAGTTGTTCTACTTAGGCTAAAACTAAAGCTTCATAGACTGTTTCTAGAACTTAACAACTCCACTGCACAGATGTAAATTTTATACATTTTTTTTTCAACTGGTACAAAGAATTTAAGTTTTTATTACTTTCTTTTTTTGGAAAAAAAGAAAAAAATAGAAACAGTGCTTTTTATCACCTTTTTATTAATGTTATTTTTTTTCCCTCCCATAATATAAAAGTCAGCAATGATATCAATAATTTATTATACTGGAAGAAATATAAAAAGAATGCTTGTTGATGGCCTAACTAGCAGGTTTTCTTTTTTTGCCTGAATAACTAGCGGCTGGTTAAGAAGCTGAATACTGCCGGGTGGAATGGTTTAAAGGGTGGGTTTGCACAGCTTCATTCGACTCAGTTGCACAAGTGCTACTAGAAGCCCTCCCTAAACAGCATAACCTTTGGCTTGAACTGGCAATGAGTAACTTAGAACCATTGATACATGATTGTTGGTGCAGTGGGTCGTTTAGATTCGTCAGTTACTACATTTTTTTTCTTTCAGCCAAACCCCAATTCCAATCCCCTAAGCCCCTCCCAACCTCCCCTTTTGCAAAATAAAATAATGCAGATGCAGGAAAAAAAAAATGACTACTATAGTCACTTACACTCTTCCCAAACAGCTGATACCCCCAGTAGCTTAATATTCAGCATATATAATTCATTTACATAATATAGCACTCTGGATATGGCCCTAAACCAGTTTTATTTTTTTTTTTTCATATCTAGCATCTCTCTAGATCAACCACAAAAACTCCTACAGCCAGCAACCAAACTATGGAACCTTCAGAAATTAAAGACCCACAATATTAAAATACACAGAACAAAATATCTGAGGTATAAGATAAAAAATGTAATTTTTTCCTCTTTTTATTTTTAATTTTTTTTTTTTAGAGTTGCTAAAATGATGCACTACTGCATGTATTGCAATACTCAGGCCTCGGAAAGCTTCCTTTCTCCCCACATTGGAAGGTTTTTATGGTTTTGTCATTTAGTATGGAGCAAAACGGTTGTATCCCCCTCGGTATATACTAGCCTGCAATGAAGAAAGAACGAGACCCACATCATCAGCATGGCTCCTAGTCTTGGCATCAGTCAAAGGTGCAAAAGCATTCTGAAACAAAGCAATTTGAGGGGTGTGTTTTTTACATTTTCCTTTTGCAACATGTGGATCATCAAAAAGACTAATGTGAAAAATAGACACTCAAAACCAACCGAAATGGAGGCACCCCTTACCCACCCCTGGTCATTCTTGGAGAACTAAAGATAGGGCCAGTCCTGACCTTCCCCAATAGCTCCTTAGAAAGCAACTCCCTGTCAAACCTGATTCTGCGAAGCCAGTCCTCTTAGCTAAAAGGACTCTCGACACAAACCGGACAATGGAAGGATTTGCACTGTGTCTCATTTTGTTTGCTTGTTTCTTGGATTCATTAATTAACCCCATGTTCCCTTGAGGAAAACTCAGTCTACACTCCAGGTTGCATTTCGAAGGTTTACTGACTAGTAATTCAACTCTCCTTTCCAACACTTTCCTCCAACGGACAAGGTGTTGAAGCAGAGTTGCCTACCGCAAAGTTGGGGTGAAAATTTCAATCTACGTCTTAGCTTGGCTGGGCCCAGCAGTCTGCACGGAATCTGATCGGAGGGGAGCTGTACAGAGGAGCTGTGCTCTATGTAATTAAGCTTGTGCAAAACAGGATGTTTCCAAATCGTCGTTGAATGTCTATGACCAGGCTCAGGGGAATTGTCTGGCCATGGCTTTAAATGGCTACAAGGTGGTGGCACTTTAACTATTTCCTCTTCCTAAAAGTACTGGCGATCCCAACGAATGCCTAGGGGGATTTATTTGTAGGATAAGGGCTGATATTCTTGATCCAAGCAGAAAACTGCATGCCAAAGCTTTGTAATGATTGCATATGCTTTTCACGTGATGGGCACGTCTTACTGTACTCAAGAGTTTTAGTGCATAGAAGTTTGAACAAATACAGGCAAATTCACCCCGCCCTTACCTCCCATGTTTTCCCTCCCCCCTCCCCAAACAAAAACCCAGACCGCCCCCCCAAAAAAAAGAAAAAACAAAAGACAACCCCCAAACCCAGCTGATTCCTTCTAATTTCTTATGTACTAGGTACACACACACAGTGTGCCCCTTTCTCTATTTTCTTTCCTGGGCGACTATGACTTTAAACATGAATTGTAATAGGGGAGGAGAGGCAGTCAGATTCTCAGCTGCCTGACAGCAGAGGCCTGGAAGTGTGCAGCTTAGCTCCTCTGAAGTCTGTGCTGGGGCTGGAACCTTGGGGCTATGTGAATGAGCAGCAAGGGAGGGAAAAAAAAAAGAAAAAAAAAAGTTCTGCATTGACACTGCATTCTGTTAGTGATGGATTTAATTATCAAAATGACTAATTATTCCATTAAGGTAAGTGCTCCGCTAGGTGAGACTTGCAAAATTAGAAATATAATAACTTACATGCACTACATTGCCAAGAAATTAAGACATTTATCAAGTTTACTGGGAGGATTAATGTGGCATTTTAGCTGCTGTTAGCACAAGAGACAAATTCAATTAAGGGAAAGTGAGAGGACATCAACCGTCAACCCATACTGAGGTCCCAGCTGGGGGAAGGGAAGGGGGAAGCAGAGGAAGAAGTGAGGACGAGGAGGAGCCAGTACTCACCATGGCACCAACGCCGTAGGTGGGGGCTGGAGCAAGTGCGTGGTGGTAGGGGTCGGCAGCATAAACTCGTCCGTAACTGAAAGGAGAACATAGGTGAAGACTGATCCATAACATGCAATGACAGAGCAATGATAATCATAAAATCCAAAATACCAAGACAGTGTGTGTATGTGTGTGTGTGGGCGGGGGGGGGGCGCCATTCATCTTGGAATAAGAAACGTGAGAGAATTCCGTCTGTGCACAACGCCTTTCTGTTTTGTGCATTTAACGTGGATGGCCGTATTGGTATCTTTAACATACAGACCCACACGCGCACACAACACGCATATATCTTCCCTCCGTCCCCTAGTGCTTTTCCTACGCCGCTCATGTGGCTACCTCAGAGACCGAGATAGGCAAGAAGAAACCACTTGAAAGAAGTGGACTTTTAGGAAGCTCTGCGAGGATGTGTTAATACTCAACGGAGACTGGCTTTTTCTCCTGATGCAGCTGTTACAATCGAGAGGATGGGTCCGAAAGGGTGAAGGGAACCTGTCTGTGCAGTCCATGTCCAACGTTTCTTCGAACATGATAGAGTAAGTGTATCTGAATGGAAACACCCTGGGAGGGAGGGGCTGTGGGACCCCCCCACCCCACTCAAGAGTTAGGGCCCGATTTCCTTTGGGGCCTCTTACCCCAGAACCTCCACCGCCTCCACCTGTGGCCAGGTTCTGGGAAGGGAGGCGTTGGAAGAAAATGTATCTCAGTGACATTTACCCATCTTGGAGTTTCTCTCTCTCTCTGCTACCCTCCTCCCTCCACTGCCAAGGCTACCTGCACAGGCTTTAGAATAAAAACGAAGCAGCGATGGAAACCAGATGCACTGGATGTCTGCAAATGAGCATCGCCACCAATCAGAAATTAGGGTTCAGAGGTTAAGTCGCTTGCTCCAGTTCACAGCTCTGGACAGAACCGAGCCTTGACTCCCTGGGAGCGGCTTGCACGTGTTCCTGTGCCGCTTTGGCCTGCCGGATATTTTCTTGGAGGTGGTTTGAACAGGGCTGGTTTGATACGCGTCAGAGCTGAGAGGCAATCTTAGGCTCGGTTCCCTGGAAGCTGAGCGGGAGACGGAGTTTCCCGTGCAGGCGATTTATTGAAGAGGCGCGCTCAGGAGGAGAGAGGCGCGGGCCCCCAGGGTCAGGGCGAGGAAAAGAAGACGGGTGAGGATGCGGTCTGAGCTGACGAACAGCTTCGACCTGATTCTGGGAGTTGCACACCAGGGTTGGTCCCGCCAGAGTCTGAAGCAAGGGGGTCGGCTCTTTGAAGCCATTGTAAGTTAAGCACGAGCTTTGAGCTTTCCTGGGGGCTGGGACACGCCACTGAGTGGAAGTGGCTGCCTTTGGCGGAGGGCCATTTTCTGGAGCAGGGAGCTGCTGTCCTCCATTAGCACCGGTACAGCAGCTGGGGGAGTGCACTGACCAAGGGGTGGGGTCGCTGTGGCTTTTCAGCAGCTCTTGACTCTGCCTGTTTGGCTTTTTTAAAGAATGGAGGAACAAGGCAGGAAGAAATGGTTTGTCTGCACTGTCAACCTTGATCTCACCTCCCATCCCTTACAGTCCAATTTGCATGTGCTTACCCCTTGCCTTCCCCAGTCTTGTTTTCCTTCCCATCTTCTTTCTGTGGCTGGGGGGTAAGCGCATATTGGATGGGTCTGCCTCGGTTGCTCATACCGTGGAGTGTGGGAAGGGGAGGGAAGCTGGGTGTAGGAAGACTTTCTAAACTCAGACTTCAAGTTATACCCCGATGGGAAAAAAAACCCACAAATGACTGTACCAAGCTTGCGCTGGGCACGTCCTTAATCCCAAGCCCATCAAGCCTGCTTCAAAGGGGCACTGAGCTCAAATGATGTAGGTGAGGCTTCCGGCATCAGCCCAGAGTTCTCCTGAACCTCAGAAGCAGTGGAGGGAGTGGAGGTTGCTCTTGTGAGGCAAATCTCTCAGCAAAACTAACGAATAGTCAACCCCAAGACAGAGGGTGTGTTGAGACAAGAATGATAAAGTTTTTTGAAGGAATAATATATTTGTGGAGGTCGCTCATGAGACCTGGGCCTCTGCTCCCTTAAGTGGAAGTGGCTACTAATAGGGGTAAGGAAATGATGCACAACTCTGACGTTCGTCCAGAGCAGGCCTCCTCAAACTACGGCGCGGGCCACATGCAGGTGTTTTTGCCCATTTGTTTTTTGTAACTATAGTCCTGCCCTCCAAAGGTCTGAGGGACAGTGAAAGTTTGAGGACCCCCTGGTCTACAGAAAAACCTGTTCATAGGGTTATTGTTAACGCAGGTGGTTTACACAGGACATAAACCACAAAGGCAAACTGAAAATCTTTGGGAATTTATTAAGTGAGGCCAGGGCATAGTGTCCCTTCAAAATGAGTGTGAAGATGCAAGTTGAGGATAATTTTTTAAACTTGGGGACAGGTTTTACTGTGGCAATAATTTCCTTTTCTGGGGTAGACAGCATACGGGCAGCCTGAAGGTATGTAATGAGAACAAGCCCCCACCCCTTCCTGCTGCATACTTAAATGGGACATCCTTACTGGGCTGTAACACTGGGCATCCTTTCAACCTTTGTGGGAAACCCAAGGTAGCAATTTGGCAGCGTTCTCTCCCGGCAGCGCTGAACTATTCTTCGCAAATGAGCCCGGCTCCTTTTCTCCTCGGGGTGACCTCTACCTTCAGAATCCGATGGTTTTATTATGATTAATAAATTTCATTTCCACAGAGGAAAAGGGACCATGTCAGCTCAAACTGAAGGCAAGGAGGCTTCTTTTCAAATGCTAATTTCTAAACACGCCCTTGTGTGACACTACAATTTAGACACAAGGTTACTAGGGAAGCTGTGGACTTGGAGCTCTGCTTTTGCAGCTGAGAGGCCTGGCCCGGCAGCGCGCTGATGTCCTCGGAGCTGGCTGAGCACAGCCCGGAGGCAGAGCCCTCCTGATTCCCTGGGACCTGAACCGGAGCGATGGTTAAATGTCATAGGACGTCCTCCATCCCACCCACCCCTGGCCAAGGTGGGGCAGAGTTGCCTATGTCCCTCCCCCCCCTAATCCATCAGCAATTTCGGATGAAAGCTTAAATATGTCCACTTCAATCCACGCACACTATAACCACTCTGACGATAAGCCTCAAGTAGTTCATCCAAACCAACTTAGCCTTGAGTCTCATTTCCTTTGTTCAACTCTCACCCCTTTAAACCAACAGCCATTTGCATTTATCAAACCTCTCAAGTCTATCTGCCCATCCATCCATGCTTTCTCTCTATCCATCTAAATATAGATCTAGAGAAGGCTGATCCTATCACTTCCCTGGTTAAGACCTTTCAGTAGTTTTCCTTTGACCCTGGAATAAAACTCAAACTTGCTGAGTGGCCTCTGCCCTTCTCTCCATCATCATCTTCCTCCCCGCCCTCCCTGTGGTCCAGGCACAGGGTCCTCCCTGGTAGTTCTTGGACACACATGCAAATCTTTATTCTCTTCTTAGGTCCTGGCACTTGCTCACCCTCCAACCGAACTACCTCCCGCCATCCTTTGTTTCAGATCAACGGCCACCTCCCGGGAGAGATGCCTGCTTCTCAAGGGCCGTCTCCAACCCTTCAGGTAATGTGGACAGTCTCTAATGATTTTACTTCTCTCTTTCCCTGATTATTTCCCCTTCCCCACGGGGGCTGCGCCTGTTCTTCCAGCGAAGGGAGGACGCTCCCACCCCTCGTCCCCATCCCTAGAATCTAGCAGGAGAAAGAGTGATTCTTTCCAGTGCCCTCTCTGATGACTTGGGGTTGGCCGCACAACACTCAGAAGAAGAGTTTCTGGGGACTCTGGAAATACAGAGAGTGTCATCCCCCGAGAACTAACCAAAACCCTTTAAACAAACAAAGAAAAGATAACTGCTTTGCCGGCTGGTTTGCCACAGCTTACAACCATCGTGGGACATCACCTTGTTGACCTTAGCAACAGAGTAGTAACCAGGGGCGACGAGGGGAGCCCAGGGCTTTGGGCAAGGAGACGCAGGTTTGAGTTCTGCCTTCACAATGTGGGAGAGTCAGGCAGATCACCCCCTCTAGGCCTCCTTTTCCTCCTTGGTAACATAGCATCGTTCACTCACAGAGCAGGAAAGGAAACCAGATAAATTTTAAAGCCATCTCCAGATATAGGAGATTATGATACACGCTTCTTACGTGGCATTTCGCAGACGAATCTCTCAATCCCGGCCGGACTTTTGGTCTGTAGAGGCAACTTTGAGATTCTATTCTAATAGGATCACGGGGAGCTCTAGTGATCAAATTACAGATGCTTTTAGGGTCGAGATCTGTGTAATTTGTGAGTTACAGATGTAGTATAAATTGATATACTTGAACCTAGGGTTATATTGGAGCAAAATGAGTAAGGATGGAGCCTGTTGAATGGGAAATATGAACTCATGTTTGTTAAAGTGCTTTGTCTACTGAGACATGTAAATATCACTTTCTTATTAACATCTTCTAAATCTAGTTGAAACAAGTGGGATACTAATGAGATAAGACAGAGGCTCTTGTTGCTAGCCTACACTAGGTTTTAGCAGTCCCATGATTTCAGTAAGAACAATGCAATTAAGAGCCTTTATGCCCCTGGACTCTTTTATTCTTCCATTAGTACTGTCTCCCCAGGCCTCCTGTCCCAGAGATCGCTGGGGGCATCCCTGTGGGGCAGACAGAGGATGAAAATATGCTCGACCTTCACCGGCCAATTGTAGCAAGAAGTTGCACAGATGTATGCCCCTCCCAGCACAGAAAAGAACTGCAGGTATGCGTTCTCAATGGGATGCCTCACCAGGGATCAAAATGAGTGGCCCCCATCAATGCCCTTAGGGGCTGTAGTGTCCCCTCATTGGGATAATGAACCCACGCAAGTCACATTCTTGCCACATAAATAGGGTGGCCCAAACAGCGTGCTGTTTGCAGAGCCGTGGTTCAGCTAGGAGCTGTTTCTTTCACTTTCCTGCTGAGGTCTGGGCCTCAACAGACCCCTGGTTGGGGCAGTCCAAGGTACCCAGTGAGAC